CATATGAAAATGCTCCATCTGGAGAGAGTTGGAAGTGCACGAATTCTTTTATGTATGCGTATTAATATTTCTCTTTGAAAGAATGAATCTACTTATTAATACGTTTCATTTTACTTAGGATTTCAAAATCTGATAATTTACACCTATACATGCCACCAGGGATGGCATTTTTGGCAGCTATCACATCCATTGTTTATTACCACAACATTGAAACATCCAATTTTCCAAAATTATTAATAGGTATGTATCAGCTATAAGGAATGTGGGTGGCAAGCTTGGGAACATAATGCTTGATTAGGTAAGCTTTCAGATCTTCATATGTTCTTATGAAATTGCCTGTATTATATATAAAAATACATAGGATTTTAATTATCAATAATGAATATATGGTGGAACAAATTGAGAATTTGTTTACTATTTCAGTTTCTATGACTCTAAATAGCTTACCAAGATTAAAATCTACAATATAATAAGTTAAAATGACAAAAAAGTAGTAAAGCAATGGGAGGAACACAACAATTAAAGAACAAACAATGTTAAGTTGCCAGGTCTGGAACACCTGTAGCTTCTGAATGGCCTTTTCAAGGGAAACCCCATGTAGAATGCAATGAAGTGCTCTAACTAAGGTGTGAGTGACTATGAGTAAGGTCTCTCATTCCAGAAAAGGACACAATTGGCAGACCAGATGATTCTGTACAAAAGCTTTTCTGGGCATAATTACCGCTATACACACTTTGAGGAGAGCTGTGAGTGCATGAAAAAAAAATCCAGATTCTCTCTGGGGAAATGTAATCTCTTCTAGAGATAAAGTTGGGATCTCCCCAGAACAGGATTATCGATGAATGCACTTGCTAGAATTGAGCTTCCCTTCATTTCTACACATCCAGCTGGAGTTCAACTCCAAGTGGCTCCAAATGACTTTATCCAACAGATGCCTTGAATAGTCCTCACAGTTTTCACAGTGGCCTTGTAGAGTTCTTGAATAGCAATCAGCAGATACAATCAGAATACAAAAATAGTTAAAGATAGGTACATTTTGTTGCTCTGGTGGAGAGGCTTACTGTGCCTTTTTAGGATTGATCCTTCACCCTTGGTCTCACTTGGCTCTCAGCTCTCTCCAAATATCTGTAACACATGCAGCTGTCATACCTTGGTAAACCATCTCAGCTGATGGGCCAAACCAGTGAGAATAGCCAACTTCAATTTGTCTATCCCAGTGTGCATAGTCTGGCCTCGAAAATTGAGGAGACGAGGCTGATCAATGATCAAGAAGACAGGCCCTGCAGGTGTTGTAGAGCACTAAGAGCACAAGAAGACACTTAGACATCTTGATCATCCATTGCAGCAGGAGAGATCATCAGCCTCTCCTGTTTGTACCATTGGATTAAAGTCTCTTCTACTGAGAGCATGGGGCTGCCCCTGTACAAAGAAATTGACTTTGTACATGGAGGGAAGTGTATAGTGGGGTGCCCCAGGGTTCTGTTCTGGGCCCAGTGCTCTTCAACATCTTCATCAACAATTTCGACGAGGGGATAGATGGGGAACTCATCAAATTTGCAGATGACACCAAGCTGGCAGGAATAGCCAACACTCCAGAAGACAGGCTTAAGATACAGCAGGATCTGGGCAGACTTGAACACTGGGCACTATCTAACAAAATGAAATTCAATGGTGAAAAAAGCAAGGTTCTACATTTAGGCAAGAAAAACCAAATGCACAGGTATAGTATAGGAGGTACCTTGCTCAACAGTAGTAACTGTGAGAGGGACCTCAGAGTCCTAGTGGACAATCACCTAAATATGAGCCAACAGTGTGCTGCAGCTGCCAAAAGGCCAACACAGTGCTAGGCTGCATTAACAGAGGGATAGAATCAAGATCACGTGAAGTGTTAATACCACTTTACAATGCCTTGGTAAGGCCACATTTGGAATACTGCATCCAGTTTTGGTCACCGCGATGTAAAAAAGATGTTGAGACTCTAGAAAGAGTACAGAGAAGAGCAACAAAGATGATTAGGGGACTGGAGGCTAAAGCATATAAGGAACGGCTGCTGGAATTGGGTATGTCTAGTTTAATGAAGAGAAGGACGAGGGGGGACATGATAGCAGTGTTCCAATATCTCANCAATAAAAATTCTGATATTCCAAATAGCATATCTGAAAATTTCCAGAATAATTTGTATTCAGGTTCATTCTAAGAAAAGGGGTAGTTACACTTGCTAACAATGCAGGTTTTCTAGTAACCATAGTAATCTAATTTATTTATATTTATATCAATCTTTGGAGTGTAGATCCTTTTTTAAATAATATAATTGTGTTTGTCTTCAGTAATTATCAGCATCTCAAGTACCATTCTTTATTTTCAACAGCCTTGCTATTCTATTGGACTTTGGCTTTTATAACCAAAACTATCAAGTTTGTCAAGTTTTGTGATAATAATATTGGACCCCGCCAGCTTCGATTCTGCCTCACAGCACTCTTGGTTGTACTTTATGGAATGCTGCTAATTGTAGAAATTAACGTAATCCGAGTGAGGGTAAGATTTAATTGTATATGCATGATAACTCAGGGAAGAAGAACAGGAGAGAAAACTAAAGAGCTAGGTTATTTTTACTTTGGCTTTCTGCTCGGCCAGAACTTTAGCCAGCTGAAATCATTTTGAGGCAAGATTTATAAAATTAGCTTGTTCCATAAGATGGTGCCAAACAGCCTGGCACTCATTCATCAAAAATACATCTAGAATTAGGTTAGATAAATGATTCATATTAGTGAGAATTAATGCTGTTCATCATCAGTTACTTCCAGAACAATTCCATAGTTCAGAAGCTCTATGAATACTTTCCTGAGATTTTCATATACCTATTTTCTTCAGTGGAAAAATAGAATGTCATGTAATATCCAACTAGTTATATTTAAATTGTATCTTTTTATGCCTTCTGAAGAAGATGTGTTTTGGGCTGGCCAGTTATTGTTGCAAGCTATGTAAGCCTAGCCTTAAATCAGTTTATTTATTATTCATATTATTTCAGAATAGGAGGGAAAATGCTTACATTTCTCTCTTCTTCCACATATTAATCTCACTACAATAGAAATTATAATTCAATACTCTGGAATTATTGGAATTTAAAGATGCTTATCTATTAAAATTGAGCTTAACTTTTGACTGCTAGGTTGAAAAGCATCTAATAGAAACATAGTACAAATCAGACAAATATTTACTGTTTTCTAAGTCATGAAACTATTGTAAATTAATTCTAGCTATTATGTTTTTGAAAAATATTTTATATTGTAAAAGTTTAGCTAAAGCATTCTTTTTTTAATTTCATGTTGTATCACTTTGGTTTGAGAAATGCAAACTCTAAAATTCATGATTATTTGGTCGTCTTGAGCAGGGAAATAATTACAGGATAATGGTAATTTTATCTCCCTTCGCATTAATTTGCTGATTCTTTTTGACTTTACAAAACTTAGAGATATATTTTCTTCAAAAAACCCAAAGAAGTAAAACCTCCTGAGGATCTTCAGGACCTTGGAGTCAGATTCCTGCAACCTTTTGTGAATCTCCTATCCAAAGGAACATATTGGTGGATGAATACTTTTATTAAAACTGCCCACAAAAAGCCCATAGATTTGAAAGCTATAGGCAAACTGCCTATTGCAATGAGAGCTTTGACCAACTACATGCACCTTAATGAGGCTTTTCAAGGACAAAAGGTATGACTGCAAAACAAACAAATTTCATACAGTATAAAGAGGATGTCCTCTTTTTAAAACCGACAAGACTTATACACCTGTGAATGTCATCTGGAAAAAAAAGTTTGAAGATTTCTTTGTTGACAATTGAGTAGCAGGTATGTCAATATTTAAAATCAAACTCGGCCCACAGTCTGGAGTTCAATCCTGACGGGGCTCAAGGTTGACTCAGCCTTCCATCCTTCCAAGGTCGATAAAATGAGGATCCAGATTGTTGGGGTCAATAGATTGACTCTGTAAACCACTTAGAGAGGGTTGTAAAAGCACTGTGGAGCGGTATACAAGTCTAAGTGCTATTGCTATAGTAATACAAAATAAAGTAATTATGAGTTAATTGTTAGGCACAGCTAGATCTATAATTTAATGGTAACATGGCTTGGGATGGTAACTTTAACTCTTGCCCCCTTCTTCCATGGCCAAGAAAAGAAAACAGATATTATCTCTTCTAGTAAAGGTCAGGATTTATAAAACCATATTTATGTGTTATGTATTTTAGAACATAAAAATTTTAAAATGTCACCCCCTGCCTGAATTTAATAATTTGTATTATTACTGGACAGAACAAAGACACTCCATACCCACAAGGATCCAGAAGTATTTGGTGTGCCCTCTGCTATGGCTTTGGAAGACCTTTAGCTCTAAGCAGCACTTTCCGTATCCTGGCAGATTTGCTTGGATTTGCTGGTCCACTTTGCATCTCTGGGATTGTTCATGTAAGGAAAGAAAACAGCACTTTGCCTGTCCAGGTACTTCCTTTGAATCATTAACATAAAATGTCTGTTAACTTTTTCTTTGTTCTAAGCTTGCTAAACTCACTTTTTCTAAACTTCAAGCTGCAGAAATCATGGTCCTTGACTTAATTATATGAGGGCGTGTGGGTGTTTCAAATTCACTCTTGCTCTCTGGACGAGCCCTGTGGAAACTGACTCCTTTTCCTTTTTGTGTGCGTGAGTGAATGAGCGTGAGTGAATGAGTCACTCAGTAGTGGCCTTGACACTGTTCCAGCTGGCACCAAGCCACAAGAAATGACCAAAAGCCTGTCAAAAATAAAATACAGTATTTTCCCATTCCCAGGATTATCATTTTCCGGTAACAAAGAAGCTGCAGATCTCCCAGACAATTGTGGCGGCATTTTCTCTCTCTCTTTATACAGCAATTAAGAAAAAACAGATTTCTGTTGTGACAAAACATTTCCATAGCAGTCTTGAGGGCCATCGTATTGGAAAAGTCAGTAAAAGGACCTGGTATTGCAAGAAAATTATATCCAAAGAAAAATATACTAAAAACAAATATACTTTGTTTTTATATTCCCAGATTCCCCTCCCCCCCAAAAAAAAGTTTTTATAAATGCAAGTCCAAACAAAAAACCTTTGAGGTTAAAGGATGAGCAATTTTTATCCTAATTAATGAGCTTTGCTTTTTTTAAAAGATTCCATAAACAACTAATCAGTTTGATTGCAAATATGCAGTATGGTAAAAGATTGGCATTTGTATAATGGAATGGAATTAGAATAATTTCTATAATTGTAGCTTTTAAAATAATCAATATATTTTCAAGTTCTCTTCATCAACTCAGTATTTAGGAAGAGGAAACAATAATAGTGTTTTGGATTATAGATTAAAATTATTAAAAAGAAAAAAGAAAATATAATTTGTTGTAGAAAAATGCAGCTTTAGCTCATGCAACAAATTTTAAAGGTAACTACCTTAGTGATTTATAGAATGAGCCAGCAGTTCTTGTGGTAACACAAAACCTTTTAATGCTTTATCATTTATATAAGCATTATTAATATAGTGTGGCTAACTTCACCATTTAATAGAGGTAGCCTCTCTAAGAAAACACAGAGAATAGCCTTATAAAGAATCACATCAAACTTTGAAAGTTAGAATTTTTTAATAAGATTATGCTTTACATTTTCAATTATATATTATTCAACCATATATTGTTTTAGAAGTTATGTCATGCTAACAATACTGTCTTCTTTAGTAACAGCTTTAGGCAGCATTAATCATTTATTTTTGTTCTAGTTTTAAATATATTTTGCTTCCAAAATTAGATGTAAGAATAAAATGAAGAGCAGATCACGTAGTAAGAAATATATTAAGATATACGTTTAAACAGCCTGATGTAGGAGATGACCAGGCGGAGCCTGAGAGCGGGGTCAAATACATAATCAATCTGGAGTCCCTATGCCACTGAAAGAGACCTAAGTCTAACTCTCCTTGAAGTCCGTTGACTCTTGTCTGTTGCCAGTCCACATTGATAATTAGTAGATCCGATTCTTGTATATAGGTTGCATGGAATAAACTTTCAATGCCTTTTAACCCTATCCCAGCTCCTGGTTTCTTGTGCCTGATACCCACATTTGTTTAAGTACAAGAATTCTAATTTAACTAGTTTTGTATATGATAAAGACAAAATGATTTGTTTAGAGAGAAGCCCAAATTATAATAGTAAGAGTCAGAGTATAAAGAATCGGAAGGGACCTTGGAAGTCTTTTAGTCCAACCCCTGCTCAAGCAGGAGACCCTATACTATTCCAGACAAGTGGCTGTACAATCTCTTCTTAAAAACTTCCAGTAAGGGAGCACACACAACACTTGCAAAATATTGGAAAACAACTGAAAACATTACAAGTTAAAACATAAATTACACCATTAATGAATTGAGTTCATTCAAACATCAGTCCAACAGAAGAGGTCACTATGAGTTTCATTTCCTAGAGCCTCCTACTTTCTCCTACTTTCTCCAGAATCTGCCTGAAGGAAATTAAAACATAAAAAAATAAAGCTAGGGCAGTGATGTTGAAAATTTTATGCTTGGCATGTCAAAAATTCTAAAAATGTGTACCTTGGTTTAGTTGCTATGCCATACACAAATACCCTGGACTCTCCTCTCCTCTGGATTCTTCTCACCAGATACTCTAGAAGTCAAGTGAGAAGGCCTTCCAACTATTTTTCTATCTTGTATTTTATGCCATTGGTCATAAAATAGCCAATAAATCTTATTTTTAATAGATTTTGAACAAATATTTGCACATATTTACGGTATTCAGCTAGGAGCATGGAGGCCCAGCTTCAAGTCAGTATTTTGCTGTGAAGGCTTCCTGTGTGGTGCTGAGCTAACGGTATCTTTCAGTCTTGTTATTTTAGGTTTCAAATGGAGGAAAGGAACAATATTAATCAAAGAGTAGTATATACTATGCATTATGTTGGTTGAACACAATGGTATGATCCAGTCCTTGTAAACCTAGAGCCTATACATGGCAGGAATTCTATAGCACTCAACAGAAACTCCTCACCCCTCACCACAATATCATAATGTATATATATTCAGCCTCCCTATCCACCTTTAGTGTAAGATATTCAAAGTACCTAATTAGCTTATATCTAATAAAAAGGAGAGCTGATATTAGTAAGATAGCACAGATTCTTTAGGTTCCATTTAATGCCCCAGTTACTGGCTCTTAAGAATTACTTCCATTTCATCTTTCTTCTTCTCAAATGCATTCCTGAAGAGTCAGTTGAATGAAATTTTCCTGATGCTTTTGCTTCCAAAGTTATTCTTGACGTACAATTGTAATACAAAACCAACACCAAGATACATACGATCTCTTTAACCTCACCCAAGGGCGCTTGCATATTGTTGATAATATTGATGCTAGGTTTTAGTCACTGCTATTATCTCTTTGCTTTTAATTTTGTTTTTTTAGTATTGAGAACAGACAAGTGATAATTTTATATGCAAAATGAAGCACTTGAAGATACTATAATTTCTAATTGCCAGCATAATTCTGAAAATATCAAAATGACATTTTCAGATATATGCCCAATATTACTAAATGATAATGTAGAATATCATGCAAAATAATACATTCCATTAAAAAGATGACACACAATTGTTTTCTGATCTAAATTGCCCAAATTCTCTCCATCATCTGCTAGTTGCAAAATTTACTTAGGAAAACTTCCATAAATTGATCAAGGAGGGATTTTTAATGCTTCTTTGGTTATTTTCTGAATATATTTCTGCATCTGAAGAGACACATTGTATTCTCTGGATTCAAAATACATGCTTTAAAGCATAAGATTATATATTTAAAAACTGACCTTATTTCATCACTTTGTTCTGCTTCTGATGTCTAACATACCTGAATACATTCCCACATTAAAATTCTATGGACATAGATAGACAATAACGTATCAGAAAAAAAATCAGTTTTCTTCCTGATGTGTTTGTTTTTTATATATACAATATGTTTTTGTTTTGCTTAGGGAAACTTTCAGCCCTATGAATATTCAACAACAAAATCAATTGCTACACTTTAGAAAATAGAAATAATCCTTTTTTATTTTTTTGAGTCTTTATTCCGACTGAAGTTACACTCTTTATGTTACTTACAATGAAAATTGTTATTTTTTACAAAATAACCCCTAGACCGTAAGGTTACATTTAGTTTTAATCTAATATATAAATGGTAGAAACGTTCTAGAACATTCATTAAAGTCGTTAACAAGATACGGAACGATTTTATATAAGGTCATAAAGACGTCAAAGGTTTGTGCATTTGTGTTCTATTGCATTTATAGGAATTCTTTAAAAACAGAACAGTTTCTTAATAGCCTTTTGTTTTTGTTTTTTTTCCTTCAGCTTAAAATAATGGGTGTTTACTTCATCTCTTCTCAAGAATTCTTGGCTAATTTTTATGTTTTATCGGTCCTCCTTTTTTTTGCACTTCTATTGCAAAGAACCTTTCTCCAGGCATCATACTATGTGGCCATTGAAACAGGAATTAACCTGAGAGGAGCAATACAGGTATTTCAAATATCCTCCGTATATTTCTATTTTATTGCTATTTTAATGGGGGAAAATTATTAATGAAGACCAGACTAACCCCACAGAGATGGTATGGATTTGTACAGATGGTATCAGGAAAGCTAAAACTCAGATTGAGCTAATATTAATGAGGCATCAGGAGAATGAGTAAAAGAGCTTCCTTGAATATCTTCAAAATAAAAAGAACAGAATTAGAAAAGTTACTGTCAATGTAGATGACAATTGGCAGTGAAGGTGACAATATATCAAAAAAGGGGACAATATGTTGAAGAAAAGGCTATGCCCTAAATAAATCTCTTGATTTTCATCTTAGCTTGGTACTCAAATGTGTAACGTCGTTAAAATGCCTTTTACTGTGGTGGTCAGGGCATTAAAAATGTGCAAGATTACAGATACTCTTGAGTTAAGGGAAAATGGGAAATCGTTTATGCTATTCTTTCTCTTGTTTTACTGAATGTACACATTCATAGTCTAGAAGATTTTGAAAGTCATGTTTATATCCATCCATTTGCTTTCTTAAAATGCACGTCCTCTAGGCAGACCAGGATTTCACTCAACAGCCTCTTTCTACTGTGACAAACTTTCATGTCCTTGCCTTTTATTATATAAGCTGCAGCTGTCCTGCATGGCTCCTGAAATTAATAGCTCATCTGATTTAAGCACAAATTGATTATAGCTTGGGTTTCTATATTAAGAAAGAAAAGGAAACAAGAAAAAATGAAGCAAATTGAACCTCTGATACCAGAAATAGCAGTAATTAATTATCAAGGTAACAGTTACATTGAAAGTCAATTTGGTGTAGACACTAAGGCACCAGGCTAGAAACCAGGAGACTGTGAGTTCTAGTCCCACTTTAGGCACAAAGCCAGCTGGGTGACCTTGGGCCAATCACTTTCTCTCAGCCCTAGGAAGAACATAATGGCAAACCACTTCCAAAAAACTGTAGGGACTTGTCACCAGGAGTTGAAACTGATTCAAGGGCACAAAAAAAATTAAATTATTCTATCACACTATCTTGTTATATTCATATTTCTTTAAATGTGATCTTGGAAACTACAATCCTGATTCTAGTTGATTAACAGTGTTTTCTGTCTGTTGACTTTGTGTATGAAAGAAAAAGGACACTATCTTTTTTTAATACACATTGAATGTCATCTTTCAATTGCTAAAAGGGATGGAATCAAAATATTTAATTATACCAGGTAGATTTTCACTAATTTTTTCCAACTGAACCTTATTCCTTTTAAGATCAAATTGTGCATTAAATAAATTGTATACTCCATATAAATATATGTGTGCGACTATGTGTGTACCAATTAATAAAAACAGAAGATTTGTTTTCTAAAACATATTCCAAAAAATAAATTTGTAGCATAAAAATAACTTTTTATACTAAAGCCAACTCAGGTTTCTCAGCTTGAATTTCTAAAACATCTACTAATAATCAGAGAGCTTCTTTCCTTTTATAAAATCAAATTAGTGCAGCAGGAACTATAGAGGAGATATATTCTGTAATCTCCATGCTAATGTTACCGTTAAGCTATTAGTATCCACATTTTACATCCTTGCATCTAGGACAGTGGTGGTGAACCTATGGCACGGGTGCCAGAGGCGGCACTCAGAGCCCTCTCTGTGGGCACATGTGCCGTTGCCCCAGACTTGGCTCCCCCCGTGACCCCTCTTCACCAGCAGCCCCCCCGGAGGAGAGTCGCCTCCGAGCGTGGCCCACACAGAGCAGCGCAGCCAAGGACATGGCAGCCAGGCAGCGTAGACAAGACTCTGACCTCACACTCCATCCCGCACAGTTGATGCTGTGGGGCGCGCAGGGGGCGTGGCCACCATGACGCTGCTGGGCTGCCTGGGCGATCTGCAGTGGGCCCTGGAGGCGATGAGTGGCCCTGCGGGCAGGTGGGGTGAGGGACGGGGTGGGGCGGGGGCAGGGGGTGGAGTGGGGGTGGGGCCAGTTTTTGGGCACTCAGTCTCTAAAAGGTTCGTCATCACTGATCTAGGATATAAAACAATAATTCATAATCAGTAAATTTCACAATATGTTGGAACTTTATTCACATTCAGTACTACTATTATGCAAGTCTCATAGCATGACCCAAAGATATTTTTTCAAGAGGCAACTGGCCTTTTTTTTTTTTCTGAAGAAGCTTCTTGGATGAGAAGTGAAATGTCCTCAAGGAAAAACTAAGAAAGTCCAGTTGCCTCCTGAAAAAGCACCTTTGGGACAAACATGACCTGGATGACTGAGAATCTCAATAGACATTCTCATAGCATGAGATAAGCTTAATTATATAAAAATGCTGCAATATATCTGTTTATGTTAGATGTCCTGATGCTAGTATGTAATTTCAGAATTCTCAATATACTTATAATCATAATGTTTTGGTATCGTCATGATTGGTTATCAATATGGAACAAGATATTATCAGTGTGAAAGTTTGCTTTTTCCCCCCACTTTCAAATAAAACTGAACATTTTTATTCTAGACAAAAATCTATAGTAAGATCATGAGACTATCAACCTCCAACATGTCCATGGGGGAAATGACCTCAGCTCAGATCTGTAATCTGGTTGCAATAGACACAAACCAGCTAATGTGGTTCTTCTTCCTGTGTCCTAATCTCTGGGCTATGCCTGTACAGGTAAGAAAGTGAATGGATTATTAATTAAAGTTAACCCATGGGAACAGAGGTCAATGTAAAATGTTTGCCTACTACTCTCCCATGGGATCATGAGATCTAACTTATTTGAATCTTCATAGCTTTTCTCTCTAATTTGTAGTTATTCTGATGTGGAGTATGCTTTCCTTTTTTGGAGGACAGCCTATATCTTCTCCAAAAATAACAATTGATGACATGTCTAGAATCCTCCCATCCTCCTAAATGCCTGTACCATCCAGTTTTAGAATTGTATTCATTACACAAATCAATGTCCCTTCTCTTTCCATCATTGCAGATTATTGTTGGAATTGTTCTGCTCTATTACCTGCTTGGAATCAGTGCCTTAATAGGAGCAGCTGTAATCATAGTGCTGGCCCCTGTCCAATACTTTGTAGCCACGAAACTTTCACAAGCTCAGAGAAGTACACTGGTAAATTCTGTCAAGATTATTATATCTACCCAATTTCTCAATTTCAGACTATAAATTTATAATCTCATACCTATGACAGTGTCCTTGGTATACTTTGACATATATGCATTCTAAATATTTAGTCAACAATGTGTTCTGTTAAGTATAGTGAGACAAATTTACCAATAAGAGTGGAGGATTGTATTTTTAATAGTATTTAATCTGCTTATAGTTTCAAAATAACTACCCACCAAATTGAAAAAAAGAGAGGAAGGGCATAGTTTTGTTTTTCATTTTTCTGAAACAAAAACCTGGTGCTGTTAAAGAAATAAATCTCTGTATTCCACACAAAACTTAACCAATAGAAAGCTGTGCAGATTTGCCATATAAGCAGCTTAGTGACAATTGGTCTTGGATATATAATGCCCAGCTTCCAACTCTTTTTGGAACTGCTTTTAAAGAGTACTGTATTTGAGAATTTCAGTTGATCCCAAATGCAGTAGAATACTTTCTTTTGGGCTCCCAGTGTTAGGAGCACATTGCCCCCAGATTCGGCATTAATTACTGCTTAGTTTCCGTGTAAGGTATGGGCAATGACATATAAAGCCCATTATACCTCGGCATTACACTCCCTTCAGAACTGCCTACTGCTGTCAATATCAGCCTGACCAGTTAGGTCCACCAGAGAGAAACTGCTGCAAATCCTTTACTTTCAGGAAATGCAGGCACTGTTGCTTCTGCATAGCAGTGCTGATCAAACTGGCTCCCTTTTTGTTGGTATTTTGGAAGTTCTTAAAGACTGAATTGTTTTGGAGAACTTTCCCCAGATGCAAACATTGCCATCTTTATTTTATTTATTGTATTTCTAATTTATGTCGAATGGTTTTATTCTTACTGTTTTTGTTGTTTTTACTCCTACTGTGGGTATTTTAATCTGGATTATTATGTGTAACCATCAAGAATCTCTTTTGATCACAGTGGCAT